ATGCATTTAATTGTAAAATGGTGAGAGAATCCAAGAAAGAAGTGAGAAATCAGAGCCGACAGCCGCGGCACCAGAGGAGAGAAATCTGGAAAATTTCTATGATTTAGTTGAAACCAAACCGATTGAAGGCTGCTGTGAAGCTCGGAAATTGCGAGACTCGGTCTTGGAAGCTGCAAATCGGGACAGGTAAGTGAAATTTCTGGGTTCATGAGGTTTCTGGTTTCCGGGTTTAGAAGGTGTTCGGGTCCCTCGAGCGGGTGAGGAAGACAGGACCTGAATGGGTCCAGGTCCCGTATAAGGGCCGGCCGGGCTGTTGGGGCCGGGGTCAACCCAGATAAGCCGGAGGCCCGCGGGCTGAGCCGCGGGCCAGCTTGAGTGAGGGCCGGGCTGAGTCGACCCGCCAGGTTGACTCAACCTAGTGAACAAGTGTCACGGGTCAACTCGGTCGAGTTGACCCAAGGTGGAATTGGGGATAGCTTATCCCAAGAGGATAAGAAATTAGGGATAAGGCCAGATTGGGAATAACAGAGGATAGCATAACCCGAATTTCTAGGATTAGAGTTTGGAAAGTTGACTGAACCCGCCGGAACCGGTTCAATGTTTGACCGGCCGGTTCAGTGGTTTAAACGAACTCGAATTTGGGAAGTTGGACTGGTTCTGGATTTAGGAAGAAAATACCTATCAAACCAAGTGGGTTCGGGGATTTTTGGGTGTCTGGTTCAAGGCGAACTGGCCTCGGTTTGCGTGCAGGTGCTCTAAATTAGTGTTTTTGGCCCGGTTCGGCCTAACTTTAGAGATTTTTGGCCAAGTTAATATGGTTCCTAAGGTTTTTGAGTCTTCTAAATCAGATTTTGTGGGTCTCATGGCCAATTAAGGTGAGTTAGAGGTAGTTTTGACCCTGGTTAAGTCAGTTCAGGCGTTTTAGAGACCAGTTCAATACGGTTCGACGATCGGGAAGGTAAGTTTAGTAAATTTGAGGATAAATAAGTACAGTAATGACGGTTAGTGGTTTAAAGGGTTTTGAAGTGAGTCAGTAGTGTCTCGATATGCGTGCCGAGAGTCCGAACCTGTGGGCGGAGCCCCGGGTCACTTCTAATGAGTAAGTTTTTGGGAGTAATCTCAATTTTTGTTCTGACTCGTGGTTTGATGATTGTAGATACTTCGGGGGAGGTTCGCTTCGATCCTTAATCGTCTGTTTGAGATCCGGTATTCGGTTTTGACGTGTCCGGTGAGTGACAGTACTCTCTGTATCTGTGTTTGCATCATGATTTTCTGTTAATCTCTGCATTTGAATTCTGAACACTGTTATTATATTCGGTATTTGTATCTATCTGTTTTAGAGTTTAATATGCCTGAAATTATGTCTGTAATTACATGTGTATATCTGCCTCAGTGCTACATATCTTTTATTTTGTATATCTGCCACGAATATGTGTGTGATTCTGAATATGTGTGTATGCGATTCCGGTTTTCCGGTTTCGACTCTGGCTCTGTTCAGGGGTGCCAGGGACTCGGCCATCGGACAGTCGGCCGCCGTACTGTGTGGGGAGTGCCCTGAGTTCGGATGGTGAGCCGCTGTGGCGTTTGGGGAGTGCCCTGGGCCCAATATGGTGATTCTGCCTCTGACTCTGGCACGGGATCCTAGTGCGACATCTGTGTTTAGTGACTCTGATTCTGATTCTACGACTCCAGGGGCTATGCCGTCGGACAGTTGGCCACTGTCGCACGGGAAGCGCCCTGGGTCCATCTGTGACTCTGATTCTGATTCTGGGATACCAGGAACTCAGCCGGCGGATGGTAGACCCCCGTACTGTGCGAGGAGAGCCCTAGGTCCGGACGGTGGGTCCCGTAGCGTACGGGGAGTGTCCTGTATTCATATGTGGCTCTGAATCTGTTATGTGTTATGTTCTGATGTTCTGATTTGATTCTGATTTTCTGGTTATGACTGCACATATGAAACCATATGTTTTAAGTTAAGAAATATGATTCTTGCAAACCGTGCTGTTACTGGTGTGGTACATGTATTTGAATGATCTGAGTTTCTGTCATTGTATGCCCAGTTAGTACTGTCATTCACTGAGTTATACTCATCCCTTTTTTCTCCCCACCTTTCAGATTCCAGTTTTGACTAGCAGCGGTAGTTCCTGCGACGCTTCTGTCACCGCTGCATCGACTGATTGTACGGGCACTTCTTGTATATTTACTTTTTGTATTCTAGACGCTCCGTGTACAGTTAGATACGTTTGGGGGTATATAGGCATATAGGGTTTTCTGATGAGATAGTTTGTCCGTTCTGTTTGGTCAGAGGCTTACTGGGATTGGTACGCCAATCCCAGTGCCGGTCACGCACCCGGGTTGGGGCGTGACAATGGGTGAAGGTAATTATGTTTTTGATTGTTCATGACAATATCAGTGAACAAAGATTTCAACCGATTAATTTATAAATTGAAAATAGGTTGATTATCAATCTTTATGTAAATCAAGCTCTTTTCACAGTGATCAATCAATTAATTTGTGTGGCAGTAGACAATAGCAACGGCCATGGTGATGCAGTGGCGTGGTAGTCCTGCTTCTTTCAGCAACTGGTTTGGAGAAAAGAAATATAATTTTGAAGACATTTTGGTATTCTTAAAAAACTCTCGAACTTCTTAATTCTATTTCTAAAATTATTCTCCAAAATAGAAATCAAAAAAATTATTAATTATTTTATGTTTTCAATTACATAAAAAAAATCAAACAGAACTTAATTTTTCTTGCATGTTTCATCAATCATAGACCTGCACATACAAAAGCTTGAGAAATGTTTTGTTTTATTTTGTCCCATAACTTTTGCATGGTTAAAACGCACGTGAAATTTCTCTGTAAATTTTGTGCACAGTGAACACTCTGGTACCCCTCCAAAAGGAAGGTACCAATACAACTTGACAAATTTTATCTTTCAATTATCTCAAAACACTTACGAAATAAATTTTTAAAAAATTTTATCAGTTTTTCGAAAAAATTAGCTGGGAATAAAGATATTGTTTAGGTATACTCTCTTGGATAGTGTACCCAAGCCTTGCTCTTTGTGCATAGATGCTAGAATCTTACCCCCATAGTTAAATATAAAATATGATTGTGAAAATGACATCAACAACATGACATTTCAACTACCATAAAGCAGGCAAGAGAGGAATAGGCATGATTGCCTCCAAAACAATTAGTAGTCGGGGTCCTCCTTTAGGGCCACAAAAAAAGTAAATAAAATAAAATATTTGACCAACATGAAAGGTTAAATTAAACAACTAATATCCAGCGACTTTATTCACTATGATTACTTTTAACTCTATCACTACAAGAATACGAGGGAACTGTGATGAAAAATTCCTTTGCTAATCCATTATTGATCTGTCATTAAATATTTATTAAAGAAATTTTTTTGTCGCTAATCCTTTGCGGTATATTTTGTTGCTATTTCTTTACCAAAACATAGCGATAGATTATATTCATCGCTAATCTATCATTGTCTAGCATATAAACTTATCAAGGAAGTTTCTTCATCACTAGTTGATTGCTAAATTTTATAAGAAATAGTGATGGAATGGTTTTAACAGTAAAATTGAATTAAAATTTATTAATAAAAAATTAAAAATACTTGTAAAATTAATTTTCAAAAATTCTATCTAAATTCTCACAAAAACTTAATTATAAACTTGATTCTTATTTAGATTTTAGATCTTTAAGATTTAGATATCACAAATTCTCTGCTCACTCAACTGAACCTTATTGAGCCTTTTTTCAAACATGGTTTAGTATAAGGGTTTGTTGGCTTTTTATTGAAAAATTCTAGTTGAGTCTTTTAACTTTTGTAATTTTTTTTCTTTTTTTAATATAAAATAGTATATCTAAAGGATTGAAGATTAATAGAAACTTTTTAATGAATAAGATTGGCATCTTAAGATAATTATAGAAATTTAAATTTTTTATTTTAAATAAATCCAAACATGATCTAAAAATACTAAAAAATCTAATAAAACTCAACTTTTCAAAATAAATAAATAAATCCTCCAAATCACCAATGGCCTCCATCATTATTGATTTTGAATTTCACTTGCTTCTGGTGAAATCCACTTGCAGATTGTTTGTGATGTGAGAAACTTTGGAGGTGAGGATGGAGCAAATCAACTGCATAGCTGACACGCTTCTTCCAAGCTTCTCTTATGATCCGAAACAAGTTCCGAGCCGGCTTCTCTTATGATGCCAAACAAGTTCCGAGCCGACCAGATGTTCCAAGTACTCGTCACTGTTAATGGCGAGAAAGGCAGGCAGGCAGGCGGGCCATGTCAACGAGCTGGATATTTCAGACAAGTGGCCAAGGACATTACTGACCGACGTCACGTGGCCTAGGACATGATTTTAGGCAAGAGATCCTTTTAGCGGGAATGAGTTGGGGGTAAAGTTAAATTAGTGCGTACCTCGCGCTGATAAGTCCCATCAAGCAACATGTACACGTTACAAAATTCAAATATATCTTCCATGTCCTCAATCAACCATTCGAATGTATCTTCCAGCAAGGAAATCCACTCAAGATTTAGCTCGGCAAGAAATTGATCATCTGAACGGGCAACAGTAACTCTTATTTGAGGAAAAATAGAGTACCAATAATGTTCCCCCCCCGGGAAAACATTGAATTAAAAAATAGAGTTTAAATATAGTAATTCATTCCAAACTTGACCCACATAATAATATCTCAAAAAAGGTACTGAACGCAGTTCCCATTAAATTTATTGATACAAAGAAGGCTGGATAAGTCCTCGCAGCCTACAGCAACTTTGAAGAACAGCTGAATAAGCCGTTACTTGGAAAGCATAAACGGAAAGGAGCCAGAGACGAAACACACAACAAGACTCAAAATTAAATCACCTCTCCTGTCCAGAGAATGGAAAACCAACACCCAAATTTCCTTTAGGAAAAAAGGAAATTGACTAGAAATTATTCCACACATTTTACAAATATGTATTCTAAGCTACATCCATTGATTCTTCGACCAAATTTGCTTCTGAGAATATTAGCAGGGATTCAGTTGATGAGGAGCCCGCCGCATACTCGTTTCTCTGGTTGGACCATTCTTGACGATGAACACCATGTCCATGCCCAGCTAGCATGCCTTTCCAGATGACAGTGCATGAACCACACCCTTGAAAAAGCAAACAAATAAAATCAAAATATGACTTTCTATTAGAAGCTTTTTCCCTTCTAGAGTCAATTCCTTTAGTATGCATTAAAAAGATGAAGTAACGAAAATGAAGAGGTTTTCCATTCGTTACTGCTAATTATAAGTACTTCGGAAGGGCTGAGAAAGCATAGAAAATAAGCAACAATGTGAAATCCGCCAAACTTACCGGGGTTGTCAGCTCTGAATCTCACAGCTGCCCATCCATTTTTGGGCACCCCAACAGTGTTCACCTCCGGAGGATCTACCAAATTATAGCTTTGAGGACCCGTTTCATTGTCGAAATTCCCATAACCCGATCCAACAAAATAAAAACTAAAACCATGCAAATGCGTGGGGTGATTTTCTGCTCCACTAAGCACATTAGTCCCCTGTATAACTAACTCCACGGTAGTGTTGTACTCTAGGACCTTCACACGTGCACCCAACGTAGAAGTCACAATATTTTCCGTAAAATTGTCACCTGTGAAATTATAATAAAGAGATGGCGTATCAGGAAAATCTGTCGTGTAAATCCCTTCGATTTCCTTATAATAAGCCTGCAATATGTCTGTGGTCGGCGCCCGAAAGGATATGTTGTTCATGCTTGAGGCTAGCCTAGTACTGCAGTTGCCAACAGCACAAGGATTGGAATTCATTGAAATGACAATGTACATTTGGGTATCAACTGTCTGCGGGACATCTACTGGGTGTTCCTCGCTAGCCAATGACCTAATCCCGTCCACAAAAGTGTCCGCGGCATCTGTATCATTGTAATAAGGTAGGTCTGGAAATGAGGGTGATGATGGGACAGTATAATTTCCACTGTACTTGACAAACGCGGAGGTGGTGCTGTTGTTATATACAACTCCTTCTATAGGCCTTGCTGCCATGTAATAGTAGCTAGGGGTTTGGTTTGCCGTAATCAAGAGGTCCATGGTTTGGCCTGGAGATATCAGGACGTAATCGGTTACTAGGGGCTTCGTGTAAGCCCCATCCGTTCCCACAAGAGTGAAGGTGTGATTAGCCACCATGAAGAACATTTCTTCGTTCATGATCGCGTTGATAACACGTAGAAGATAGGTTTTTCCATAATCAAAGGTTATGTTAAACATATCTGCAAGATTTGGAAGGCATGATAAGTTAATACCAAACATTTCTACGATGGTGAAAATTGAAATTTCTCCATCTTAAAAGATTTAAATCAGTCTGTTCGGGGTTGAATTGTTGGCTATACCGTCCGCGTCCTTGGAACAATTGTACCGATCTCCTGGTTGACCATTGAAGGTGAAAGCATCAGATATATTGAATTCTGTTCCATCTCTCAGGGCATCGTCCACAATTGCCGGTATATCTCCCTTGAACCAGGATGCTGTTTTTGGACAAATAAAAGAAAAAAGTGCTCAATGTAGTGATTGGATTATAACAATATCGCCAAAAACTTGACATTTTTCCTATTTTGTCACGACTAAAGTCAATGAAAATAACCAAGTATCAAACCATCAAAGCATACTATTTATATATTCCTAATTATTGACGGAAAAAACTAATGAAAGAGAGAGAGAGAGAGAGAGAGAGAGATAGAAAGTACCTAAGACAATGGGGAACTCGCCATCAGGCTTGGTGAAGGGGTAGTTGGTTCCATTCTTAGGATAGACGACAATTGCACCATGTACAGTGGCTCGAGTCCAGTCACTATGAGCATGCCACCATAGAGTTCCTTCTTCAGTTGACAATATGATCTCATAAGTAAAATTTGCTCCTGGTTTGATAGGACATTGTGTCACATATTCTGGTCCATCAGACCATGGATTTCTCGGTTGCTTTACTCCATGCCTGTATTCAACATTTGGTCCATATAATCATTTTGTTTCCATTTCATTATTTGATTTTTTATTATTTTAACATTATATTTGATTAACCTGAAAAGAAGGAAGGAAGAAAAGATTCATGCCAAGAGAATTCCTTCAGCTAGGGAAGTAATTCATTTTTTTTCCCATTACCTTGGATTAAATGGAAAGATTAGTGGAAAGGAAGAAAACTCGGATTTTTTTTTTTTTTTTTTCATATATCACAATAGCATTATTTTTTGTCTTTTTTTCGGGAAGTTCATTAAATAGGATGACTTAAAAAATGCAAAAACATATTTAAAAGTATTTTTTAAATACCTTTTTATAAGGAAATTACAGTATCCTTTAAAAAAAAAACATGAATATATCATTAATAAGCCCCAAAAAGGGCGAGCATCAGAGCACAGTGGACTAAGAAAAGCCAGTGAAGGAACCACAGCAGCCCACCCATTGACAAAGGCAAACCTTCTTGGTATTACAGTATCCTTCCTAATATACTTGTAGAATAACAGTCTCTCCCTAAACAAGTTAGTCTTAATGTAAAAATAGATTATTAAACTAGATTATATAAAATATACCAATATGAAGTGAGAGGCACAAAGAACAATCGAGCCCCAAAATATTTTACACATATGTGCGCACCCGCGCGCACGCGCTACGGAGAGGTCCCTTTCTTTCGTTCTAGCCCTGGTAGTGGACTCTCGCATACATCCACTCATCCAACTTTCAGCCCAAGGCTGGACCGATTGATTTGTAAAGAGGGAAGGAAAGCCTTCCATCTCTTCCTTTCCTTTTCTATCAGTCTTCCTATCTACCAACCAAAAGTTCCACAACCCACCCTCCTTGCCCTCCACTCCCCCTTGTATCTTTTCGCTTTCCCTCCCAACCAAACATAATCTAAAATTTTAATAATTGTTGGGCCATCTGACTATTTTATCTCATGAATTTATAAAGAGGAAAGTAACTTTATTTTCATTATTTAAATGAAAGTTGAACATAAAACCTATTACTTGCCTGGAATCATAATAAATTTTTATTTAATGTTCTCTTAAGAGAAGTATATTATTATATCTCAAATCTTGAATTTGCAGAGGGGAATAACTTAAATTTTCAACGTTCTCCCAATAGAATCACTAAAAATTAATTAAAGGAAGAATCTCTTTCTTCATTCAAGGTTTCAAAAAATCTCTTTCTTCATTCAAGGTCTCTATTAATCCTTAATTTCCTTTTCCTTTTTCTTTCCCTCTTCTGGAGTTTGCGTGTATATATAAACTACAAAGATAGAGAGATATACCAGTGAATGGTAACATTATATGACCCTTGATTCACCACATTCACTTTGATCCTCTGACCCTTGTAAGCATACAAGGTTGGCCCCGGAAACATTCCGTTCATTGTCAAGATTGACTTGGTTTCACATAACCGAGTAAAATTCTTCTCCTCCAGCTGCATCAACAAAATTAAGACAGGTAACTAAGATAATCTTGAAGCCATCTCACAAGTAAAGCCCTTATATAGGACATCATAAATCAATGACGCAAAAACAATGGATAAAAACCGAACAACTAAGTTGGTGGAGAAATACTCACCACCCAGTTGAGAACAGTGATGTTCTTTTTTGCCATGCATGAAACTATAAACACATTGAATAACAGAAACACTAAGAGCTCCAGGTTCAAGCTTTTCTTGGAGATCTCCATGGTTTCTTCTGCTAAACTTGCTCTTGCTCAGTCTGAAAATAGGCCTTTATATAAGCCTTGATTCTACTGTGAGGAGCTGTATTCTTAATTTTCCACATGTTTTTGCACCGTCATAATGAGTCCAAACGAATGGCAGCCATATGTAGTATCGTCATCAATTTAGGGCAATTGTTAATATCAAAGCTTCCGTGTGCGGGGTCATATACATAATAAATTACAATTTAAAGGCACAGTGGAATGTCCCTTAATTTGCAGAAAATATGGGCTCACAGATGTAATAATGATTTTGACTGTTGCATGGGTTGCTTGGTTGATTGATGACTTTGAGAGCCACACCTAATATCTCATTCTTAATTTGTGTTTCCGCATTATCTTTTGTTATTATGCCACGTTTTCTTGCAAATATCTTTTTTTTAACTTGTTGAAAAGATATTTGGCGGGTAAACAAGCACTTTTTTATTTGAGTATTTGAATATAATTTAAGAAAATATCTTACTAAAATAAGAATTTCAAATTCTGTTTTACTTAGTTTAAGTTGGTGGTATTTTGATTTTTTTTATTAATTCTTTCGAAAGAGATAAGATTTGGTGAATTAAAAACAACTAAGAATAATAATAAAAAAAATTCATACGTGGATCATACCTTTAATAGTGAGGCAACTTTTTGACAAACAAAAGTTGCTTTATTTGAATCACAAAAATGATCTCTTTGTAATGGGCACTTGCCATCTCTTCCCTTGGCCTCGGATATTGTGGTTAGCTAATAGATGGGTTTAGCCTAATTGTTAAATGAGACGGCGTATGCTTGGGAGTAGTTTCTTGAAAACCAGCCTGGAGAGTCCGTTATTTCTTGATTGAAAAAATCATTTAAAGTTTGAACCAGTAAGAACAGATTAAAATTAGAAAATTCGGAAAAACCGGTTCACTGATTTAACCAATTTTTTTGTTTTTTCCGTAGAAAATATATGAACCAAGTAGTTGACTGGCCGTGGAAGAGCCTTCCTGGATGGCCTTTCTTCTCTTTATGGAAAATCCATCTATGAGTGGAATCCATGCTTCAAAGGTTTTGATCTTAAATCAAGTGGAGACTCGTCCTCATTTGGGTACTGGGCTTCGCCGGTCGACCATTGTAAAAGGGAGGGGCTTCAGAAAAGTAAGCAGGATGGAAGAAAGAAAACCCAGAAACCCGGAGAGAGAAAAGGAAAAAAAGAGAGAGAAAGGTGGAGAGAGAGAGAGAGAGAGAGAGGAGAAAAACGTGTTTCTCGTCGACCAACAGAGTACAAAGCAACTGATTTGCATTTTTTGTAATTATTTTAAGGTCCCGATTCGTTATCAATTTGCTTTCAACCTTTCTAATTCTGAAACGACCTGCCCTACGCCTACTTGACTTAGGCTTGGATCCAAATTAGCCTTGCTGATTTAATACTTCAGGCTGTGAGATCCCAATATTAGTGAGTGGGATCCTAAGCTGGACTTGATTATGAATTAAAAATAAGAAGAGAAAATATAAATAAAATAACTAAAATATTTCTTTTGTTTCAATCAATGAATAGGATGTGATTTGAACTTACTGGATTTAGCCTAAAACTGGATTGTTTATGTTAGCTTCCTTTTCACAGTTTTAAATATAAAACTCATAACTAATTATAATATAATAAATTATTAATTTATTAATTTTTTATCTTTATTTTTTTATATTTTTTATATATTTTTTATATTATTTGCAATAATATATATAAATATTTATTTATATTAAACATATTTATAACATCACACCTAATAAACTAATAGTTTAACTGATCAAACTTATAACCAGTAAAGCCACCATTATCTTCACAAGTCTAGTTTTTAAAATATTCCTTAGTATTGCATTTGCTTAAGCAAAACCTGAATGTCTACCCAATTTGTGCCCCTAAGTTGAATACGATCTACTTCATTGCAATTAGAACTATACAATGATTCAGTTGAATTTGCTTTGGTCGGATTAGTAAAATGGTGAATGTTAGGTGGCAAATTGTAAAGAGATCTTGTAGCACTCTTTGCGCATTTTAGTGATTCCGCATGTTTGATGTAATTTAAAATTAATGCTATGTTAGATTTTAATCTGAATTTAATTTAAATTGGCTCTAAATTTTAAAATTTAGATATGATTAAAATATTAATTTAAAATAAGTGAATCGGATATCAAATTAAGTAATTTAATATGTTATTATCTAAATTTTAATAATATTTTTATTAAATCAATAATTTTTATATATAATATTAAAAATTTAAAGTTATAAAGATTAAATTTTAGAAAATCAAAAATTTAGAAACCAATATAATTGATAAAATAGAGTTGAAAAACTTAAGTGTAAAAGAGTATTATTATCTATTAGATGTTGAATTTTCTTATTGAATTTCAAATTATCTATTAAATTTAGATAGGTTTAACAAATATAAATCTTATAAGATTTTGAAAGTATAAATTTAATCAGTTTATAACCCTAATATAATTATAGGTTTTGTTTTGATAAATATTTAAACTTTCAAAAAATTAAATAAGTGCTTATACAAAACACACTCATTTAAGAATTTAATTTGCTTTATACTGAATTTTAACTTATTAAATTAAAATTTTTAGTATTTATTAAATTAATATTATTATCAAAATTTAATATTAATTAAATAAATGTTAAAATTACTAATTCGGAGGGTGAATTCATAATATCAAAATAGGCAAAAATCTCAATGTGCGACTTCAAGCGCCAAACATCCCCTTGGACTTAGCAACCCTAGGGACAGAGGGGGCATAGGGGTAAGACTAAAACAACCTCCGAATATTTATTTTTCTTGATAAATGGTAAAAAAAAATACCATAACGAACCGACTTTAAAAAAGTCAATTAACTACGAACTTTGCATCCGATAAACCCAGCTGAGAATCTTAAAGTTGGACCCTGTGGCGCAATTACAGGTTTAAAACATTCAAAATTACGTAGGAGATGCGGATAAGTTTGAACGATGAGGATGTTTTCAACGTGTTTGCAGCCGTTTTTAAACTATGGCGTTGAAAATCTTTCCTTCTAGATATTCTATTATTGCCCAGTGGTTGCAAGTTGTTCCTGTTATTAGGGACTCTCAGGGACAGCTGGATGCACTTCTAGACCTTTGAAGTCCAACCATGGCCTCTATTTTTCTTAATTTTTTAAAATTTACTTTTTTTGAAAAAATAGGGAGACTTTTTAAGATGTTTAAGATTTAGGTGGTGTTTGAAAATATTTTTACAAAATAAGAAATTGGAGTTCAAAGTAAAAGTTGTATATATTTGTAAAATATATTAAAAAATGAGAGAAAAGTAAAACAAATGTTTGGAATGTAATTTAAGTAATTATTTATTTAAATTTGAAAAAAATTAATTTTTGAGTGTTTTCCATAAAAAGATAAGAATTATTTTAGATTTAAAAAAAACTCTGAGAATAAATATATTCAGAAGACAGCTACTACTACTTAATTGTAATAACATGGACCATAAAATCACTTTCTATTTCTACTTTAATCTATTTAAATGGAGAAGAGAAAAAATTATAAATAAATTTTTAAATATTTCAAAAGCCAATTCACATATTAAAAAACTCAAAATTATTAAGAAATTATTGCAAACACAATCTTAAAAATCTTATTTGAAAACAATATGTGTACGTGCCAGGTATTTTAGCCTATACTCACAGAGTGTTTTAGAAAACCATCCAAGCTCGTCTCTCTTTCTAGATGTATTTGAACAAAATTTTTGCAAAATTGAGAGAGAGAGAGAGAGAGAGAGAGAGAGAGAGAGAGAACGGCAAAAAAACATTGCGAATAGGCAGACTTCGTGATTAGCTTCAAGTCGCAGGACACGTTTTTCTTTGCACGAGAGATGGATCCTTTTTAACTTTTCGCTGTTTCAACGATTGTTGGTGTTCGTGCAGTGCTGTGCTGCCGGACGACCAACCAGCACCATGTTCCGACAACTGGAGGGTATCTAATTTGTCCTACCGTACCCATTTTTAATTTGATCGGGTTTTATGAAATTTCCTTGATACTTATTTTCATTTTTAAAGAAAAATCCAAATTCAAGCTACTTGTCAGCAAATAAGAATATTGTGAAACCCAATTTCAGGAAACATTTGTTTAATTACAATAAATTTGGTTTGTGGGGTAGATTTTAACCTCAACTTATTTAAATTTCATAGATTCCCCCTTCAAATCCTAATTTCTCCAAAAACCCACTTAATCCTCTTTCTTTTCAAAACCCTTTTTCATGCAAGTTTTTTCCAAACACAGAACTTCTAAAGTAAGACTGTTGAAACTCGATGTTAAAAAAGGTTGACTTGTGGAAATCTCCGAATCATTGTTTGATTGTGTACAACTAATTATAAGGATTTGCTAAGTCAAATTATCATTATTGTCAAATTTTTTTCCTTTAATTAGTATGCTGATTTAGGGCCATGCTAGTGGCCATGAACTAGTATTTACGTGATATTTCATTTTAAATTTTTCTCTTTCATTTTTGACCGAAACAGGGAAGGGGATGAACAATTTTAGTGGCGCGACGAAATTAGAAGTCGCAAATAATTGAGGGCCAGTTTCTATTTTTAACCTATCTGGGGACTGATTTTTCTAAAGAACAGAAAGTTCAAGCTGAAAGGTTGATTCTACTGGGTAGACTTATTTTCAAATCCAACAGTTAAATTTTATTTTTTATTTTCTAAAATGACATAGTTCACAACCATTTTTGTTGGAAATAGAGGAATTTAGATTTGATCTAATTTTGTGAGAGGACATTAATAAGCATCAAAATAATAACATTTGTCTTTTATTTTTCTAATTTAACATGTCTGAATCATTTGTCTCTTTGTAAATGATACAGGTAATATTAAAACTTCAAATTCAATTTTTTTTTTTGGGAGAAAAACCTAGAAGGCCCAAAAATCTGAAACCTCATATTTTCTCCTTTTTCAAATAAAATTGTAAAATTGTAATT